AGCCTTATGAATCACTTATGATTAGTGCCGAACAAGTAAGCAAGATGCTTGAAGATGCCTTGACTAAGCAGAAGGAAGCTTTCAAATTCGAGATGGAGATGGCCATGCAGCAGATGAGAGAGATGCATGACCAGCAAATCGCGGCTCTGACAACTCACCAAGGAGAACCCAGTCGTCGCAATAATCCGAATCAAGAGGAGAATGAACGGGAAGAGGATAATGTCAACATAACTATCCCTCCTGTCAACAACAATAACGGAGGCGGTCCCTCGGATGATAATGCGAAGGAGGACCACGTTACCTCTCCCAGAAGCCACTCAAAGACAGATGCGAGTGAATACAAGAAAATGAAGGATTTGGAGAGCAAAATCAACGCGTTGATGAATGCTCAAGAAGTGAAGAGGTCCGGCATACCATGTCCATACCCAAGGGAGTGGGAATCAATTCCATATCCGGCAAAGTTCAATTTAATCAACTTTACGCCGTTTGATGGAAAGGGTTCCCCTACCCAACACTTAATATATTTTAAGTCTCACTTAGGAATAATCTCCGGGAATGAACCCTTAATGGTGCGGTCATTCGTTGGCACTCTTCGCGGAGCGGCCTTCGATTAGTATCGTCGCCTCAAGCCGGGGAGTATCAGCAGTTGGGACGACATGGAGGATATGTTTCTAACGAACTTCTTCGACGACGACACCGAAGTCTCAATCGGCACTCTATTTGATGAGAAGCAAAAGAATGGTAAGACAGTCGAAAACTTCGTGAAGAGGTTCCGAAATAAAGCAATGAATTACAGGGATCCGGTCAGTGAAGACTTTATCCTCGAGACTTGTCACAATAACCTTTCATTGGACATCCTCGAAGCTATGGGAATGGCACCGCCAAAGACCTGGAAGGATTTGAAGGTGCGAGGAGAACGAGCCGAACGATTCCTTAAAAGGAAGAAGGCGGAAAGGGGTCAAATAGCAAATAATGCTCCGCAACCAAACTTTGTCCCTAAGGGTAAAGGAAAAGCACATGCAAATGCCGTGGACGCGAATCAAACGTTCGAGGTGCAAGCGCAACCGCAACAGCAGCAACAAAAGGCGCCTCAACAATCAAGGTCACAACAGCAATCCCGAAGGCAACAAAAGACTTCGGAACCGAAACTCCAAAAAGAGTATTCCTTTAAGGACGAAGACGTTCCAGCCATCTTCGAATCCCTCCTTAAAAACAACAAGATCAAGCTACCACCTATCGTCAATCAGGAGGAAGCTGACAATACTGCGGATCCAAAGTACTGCGCATATCACAGGAGGATCCTTCATCCCACCAAGGCGTGCTTTACTTTAAAGAACATCATCCAAATCCTGATTGAAGCCGGCGTTATAACGCTAGGGTAAGCCAATTGAGAACGGCAAGACTCCGACAAGTATAAGAGTATAAACTGCTTCTTAAGACTCTGACAAGTATAAGAGTATAAACTGGAGTATAAACTGCTTCTTAAGACTCCGACAAGTATAAGAGTATAAACTGCTTCTTAACACTCCGAAGAGTATAAGAGTATAAACTGCTTCTCAATCCTCCGACCGGTATAAGAGGTTAAACTGCTCCCTGATACTCCAACATGTATATGAGTCTAAACTGTTTCATTTCTTTCACGGGAAGTTCTTGGAGAATTTTTATATGTAATATTCTTAAGGATAACCCGGTCATATAACTGAGTACAATGTCGGACCCGGTGCCACAAGGAAAACTGGGGGTGGATTATTCATGTATCGGGAAGTTCCCGAAAGAATATCACAGGTGATATTCTTAGGGATAACCCAATCACTATAAAAGTGATAAGTAAAACATCCACATTTAAACTCTAAAGGTTGGAATGTTTTCCATTATTGTTATCAAATTCACTAATTCTCATGAGTTATCTTGTTGAGACGAGATTCGATCCTTTTGACAGATTAATCTTTCCTCATAAAAAATCCCCCAATGATCAAGTCAATTGACGATGGGTCCACTAAATTTTCTGTCCGCCAATTCATGACAATTTCCAAAGCTTGACGTGTTAAGTCCTAGTTACTTAATGTCAAAACCCTTCATCGAGTGGCCAGTACAAACCATTATTTCTACTGCTACTTGTATTCCACTCCATTTGCTTCCAGGTCAAACCTTCCTACAGTTAGGACCATAGCCAAAATCTCCTCTCGATTCCCTCCATGAACGAGAGGTCCACTTTCAAATCGGGTGATCAAACCTTCCTACAATTAGGATCACCTCAAACTCCTGCTTGGTCAAACCTTCCTACAGTAAAGACCAAAACCACAATTCACTCTCGATAAACGAGAAATTCACCTTTAGTTCGGTAATCAAACCTTCTGACAGTTAGGATTATCCGAATTTTTCGATTCTCGGAGTGGAGGTCCCACTCCTAGTTTCATCTTTTCGGATTCTGGGGGTGGAGATCCCACCTCGAGTCTCCTTTCCAGCTGAAGATAGAATATAAAATTCTTCTTCTTCAGTGTCGGGAGATAGAATATAAAATTCTTCCTCTCCCATTTCGGGTTCGTCTTTGCCCCAAGAGAAGACACCACCTTTTTCAACTCCCAAAATATGTGCCTCACAGGTACGGGGAATTTTATCCCGAATCCTAAGAAGGGATAAGTCAACGCCTAACACGCGTTGCCGGTTTAGTCTTTCACCGATTGAAAAAGACACCAGAGTACAATTCTGGGGACTTTCATCCCGAATCCTAAGTAGGGATGAGTCAACGCCTAATACGCGTTGCCGAATGCCATATTCTCGTAAGAAATGGCGAAGTCTATGTATTCAAAATCATAGCATTAAGTCTAAGAGAAGCAATTCTCTTAGCACAACGTTACATGTGAAACGAGTTTTAATAATTCACATGCTAGCCCGATTCAAACGGTAATCGGTAAAGGCACGTCAAACCCGTTGATGGCTGGGGATTTGCCAAAAATCCCAAAGTCTATGTCTAACACGCATTGCCGGATAGTCTTTGACCGTAAAAAGGACAAAAGACCACATATTCAACATTGTGGCAGGTTGTTATTAATAACACCATAATCCGTGCCTCACACGCACGGGGAATTTTATCCCGAAGCCTAAGCAGGGATAAGCCAACGCCTAACACGCGTTGCCGGTTTAGTCTTTTACCGATTGAAAAAGACACCAGAATCCGAGTCTGGGGATTTTTATCCTGAATCCTAAGTAAGGATAAGTCAGCGCCTAACACGCGTTGCCGGGTAGTCTATTCCCGTGAGAAAGACGAAGTCTACGTATTCAATGTCGTAGCACTAAAAGAGTTAACTCTTTTAGCACAACGTTATGTGCAGAACGGATCTAAACAATCTCAACGCATGATGGTTCAAAACCCTAAGGTCAACGCTGGTCAACGCGTAACCCTAGGTCAACGCCAGTCAACGACGAGTATAAACTGTGTCAACGAACGACGTTCGAAACCCTAGGGTCAACACCGGTCAACGCGTAACCCTAGGTCAACGCCAGTCAACGTGTTGCGACCAAAAAGTCAATGTTCGACGTTCGAAACCCTAGGGTCAACGCCGGTCAACGCGTAACCCTAGGTCAACACCAGTCAACGCGTTACGACCAAAAAGTCAACGTTCGACGTTCGAAACCCTAAGGTCAACGTCGGTCAACGCGTAACCCTAGGTCAACGCCAGTCAACGCGTTGCGACCAAACTGTGTCAACGTACGACGTTTGAAACCCTAGGATCAACACCGATCAACGCGTAACCCTAGGTCAACGCCGGTCAACACGTTGCGATCAAAAAGTCAACGCGTTATGATCAAAAAGTCAACTCAATAACACGAGCCAAACTCAACTCATCAGTTATAGATTTGAGACTTCGACGACGGCCAGACGATAAACGCAGCGCCGGAAGAACTTCACCTATTCACCAAAACATCGAGTAGACTGAAAGTCGAAAGAGTCAAGAATCGAAGATAAATACAGAACCTTTACGCTGACTGAAGGTTGGACCAATCACATCCAAAGTATTCCAGACTCTTCTATAAAAGAAACGAGTCCGGAACGCTTTGGAGGGGGTATCTGTAGGCATCGAAAATTACCTATAGGTCTCTATGAACAGCTCAGTGTTAAGGAATGACGATGAACGTCACTATCCAGTTCACAGGAGTTCGATTGACGTCGGTGAACGTTTGAAGTGAATCGACGAACTACGTGAGCTGACAGAATTCCGGAATAACGAAGGTGCGGGCTAATCGGGAGCCCCGCAATGTTTACAAAGGGAACAATGCCCTTCGTGTCTCATTCATTCTACAGATAATAGGGTGTCTCGGCCAAGCCGATACACCCCAAGGGTGTCTCGGTTTAGCCGAGACACCCCAAGGGTGTCTCGGCCAGGCCAAGATACCCCTAGGGTGTCTCAGCGTGAATTTGACCCCTTTAAGTGGTTTTAACCGCTCCGCAACCCCTCATGCCTATAAATACAAGCCTTAGGCCTTATTTTTTCAGATATGGATTTTTTGAGAATTGGCGAAGCCCTGCCGGAGTGAAGAGTGATCGAGCACTTCAACGCAAGAGAGTTCTTCGTCAGATCTACATCACCCGTACCCGATCCTTAGTATTATCTCGTTGTGGTAATACTAAGAAGAGCAAATATCTCGCTTTTATCGAGATAGGCGCTTCAAGTTTCTAGATCTCCTCGCGGATCGACGAAGCTCTGGATCAGATCTGATTGCCAGGTAGTCCACGGATATCAACATCCCCGTCACAGGCTAAAGACCCACGCAAGCAAGAGACGACGAACGGATCTTGTGTTTATTTTCAAGAAAGTTATAATTTTTATTTCTTTGTTGTTCGAATTCATTTGTAACGTTTGAAGTTTTAATGAAATCAATGATGAAGGCAACTTTCGACGAAAACAGTGGGCTAGGTCTGCAGATTGAAAAAGTCTCTCTATGGGCTGAAGCAGTCTCCTCGTGCTTGGTTTGACAGATTCAGGAGGGCTATGATAGGTATGGGGTACCAGCAGATTAACGCCGATCATACCGTGTTCTTTCGAAGGAGTGGAGACCATATTACCATGCTTACGGTATATGTGGATGATATGATTATTACAGTGGATGATGAGAAGGAGATTGCCCAACTCAAAGTAAGACTGGAAAAAGAATTCAAGGTGAAAGATCTTGGCTTGCTTCGATACTTTATTGGAATAGAAATAGCTCGAGGAGCTGAATGGATTGTCCTATCCCAAAGGAAGTATGCACTGGATCTTCTCAAAGGGTCAGGGATGTTAGGGTGCAAGCCTGTAACTGCACCGATCGACCAGAAGTTCAAGCTGGACGCTAAGGCTGGAGAACCAATTGATCGTGACAGATACCAGAGGCTGGTGAGAAGGTTGATCTATTTGAGTCATACACGTCCCAATATCTCTTTTACAGTGAGCGTGGTGAGCCGCTACATGCATGATCCGAGGAAGGGTCATATGGGCGCAGTGTACCAAATTCTAAGGTATTTGAAGAGTGCTCCCGGAAAAGGGCTGATATTCAGGAAGAATGAACATGTGAACATTGAGGGTTACTGTGACTCTGATTGGGCTAACTGTGCTGATGACAGGAGGTCCACCTCAGGATGCTGCATCTTTATAGGAGACAACTTGGTCTCGTGGAAGAGCAAAAAGCAGTCAGTGGTGGCAAGATCAACAGCTGAAGTAGAGTATAGAGTTATGACCTTGGGAGTTACGGAATTATTATGGTTGAAGAATATGCTGGTGGAACTGAAGCTGGATCAAGGAGCCAAGATGAAGCTGTGGTGTGATAACAAGTCAGCCATCAGTATCGCCAACAACCCAGTGCAGCATGATAGAACTAAACACATCGAGATCGATAGATTCTTCATCAAAGAGAAGTTGGACAGTGGACTACTGGAGTTAAGTCATGTTCCAACTAATTAAGGACCAGACAACAGACTGTCTGACTAAGGGACTTAGCTCATTAGATATGATTAGAGGATGTGACAAGATGGGCTTAGTAGATATCTTTCGCCCATCTTGAGGAGGAGTGTTGACATATTGATAACATTTAGGGGTTTATTTGTAAGTTGTGTTTGTACGGGCCTATATAAGCCCAAGAGGTTTCATAATAAGTTGAAGGCTTTTCATTCTACACAAAGAATCAAAAACATAATCCCAACAGAATCTACTAGGTAACTGAGGAAAAACATATAGATGTTCTCTATAGAAAATCAAATAGATTAACAATGGATTGAGATATCTAATCTAGCACAAATCTTGATGTACACATTAACTATCATTTCATTAAGATTATAATTAACTATCATTTCATTAAGATTACCTATCAACACAGACAAGTGCAGACTGCACGTACTAATATATAGTACTACGGTAAAGATAATCAATAATAATTTATGAATCATGATTCATGCTAATCGGCTATATATTCTATAGGATGCCCTTTATAGGTTTTTGGGTTTGACTAGGATCAAATTAAAAGGCCGTAAAGTTCAAAGTACAGTGCCGGAGAGTATGGCCAATGACACATGCACAACCCAGACAAGCACGTCTCACACGTTGAAATCACGTTTTTTTCCCCTTCTCTTTTCCTTTTGCTTCCTGCAATTGGTCACTTCGTGCTAGTTGACATTTTTATTGTTTATGTGGTTTAAAGCAAATTACAGATCAGATAAAGTCTTTGGCTTTGAACCTTGATAAGGCAAAGTCAGAGGTTGGTGGGTTTCCTCTTTATAAGACAATTAAGGGAGGACCGCAAGCCGAAAGATAAATAACGAGATAAGGAGGAGACATTGATTTGGTTAATTTGTTTGTACTTTGTAATGGAGAAGACACCGAGGATTAGTGATCATGACAAGGGTGGAGGAAATGAAGAGGTACCACTCTCTCTCTCTCTCTCTCTCTCTCTCTCTCTCTCTCTCTCTCTCTCTCTCTCTCTCTCTCTCTCTCTCTCTCATTTTGGTATAGTTGATCATCATCATGAAATTATTATCAATGATCAGAAGACTTCTTGTTAGGATTAATTTCAGGGTATTAATTTCTAAATGTTTAAATTAAAATTTTCATTGGTGGGTTAACTTTTATGGAAATTAATATATTTCATCAATTGATTGTAAATCTTGCAGGTTGGAGGTGAAACTATGACATCAAACAAAAAGTTTCAAAAGGATTCATGCCATGAGCCACTGGTAAATTATAAACTTGGTGCTATTCATTAACTATATCAAAATACAATCGATCCAATTGTCACAACATAGTGTAATTCATTAATTATATCAAAATACAATCGATCCAATTGTCACTATATCAAAACAACATCGCTGCAGACATTTATAGATATGCATACGTATTTCTTCGATTGATTAGTTTGACAGTCGATGTAAGTATTTTATTGTTATGATTTTAGCTTGTGCTGGTAATTTCCAGTAAATAATATCTAAACAAATGAACAATACATTTCTAGATTTGTAAGTTTTTGACCTCGACAACCTACCGAATATTCTTGATACATGAACAGAAGCTTGAGAGATAAAAGTTTTATCTGAAAATATGCCTGATAACAATTCCATCTATTAAATGCAAATATGTCTTTCGAAAATCTTTCCTTACAGTCAAATCTCCTTAAATATATTTTGACTTATAAGAACTAAACAAAATGAAAGATTAGCTTACTATGATTATATTAATGTGTGTGCCATTAATTAGGAGGATCAACTTGCATCCACCAGAATCAAGATAGGAGAAGTAAAAGAAGAGAACGAACGGTTGAAGACAATCTTAGCACGAATAATGAAGGAGTATCAGTCTCTCCAAATGCACTGCTTCAACATTGTACAACAAGATAATAGTCAAGTTAAAAACCCTGTCGAACAAGAGCCTCATGAACTTGTCAAACTCAGCCTCAGCACAAGCTCAACCGAGATCAAGAAGTACAAGAAAGATATCGAATATTCAGAGAATGAATACGAAATGAACCAAGGCCTTACTCTTGGCTTGGAATATCAGCATAAATCTGAGTCTGTGCCTGCTTCGAGTTTGAGCCCGGATAGTAGCAGTTTTGATAAGCTAAAGGAAGAAGAAAAATTGAAGAATGTGATAAGTGAAAATGATGATCAGATTGCACCACAGAGCAATGCGAAGAGAGCTAGGGTTTCAGTGAGAGCAAGATGTGAAGCACCAACAGTATGTATACTAATCTCATGCATTCATGATTTTTTTTTGGTCAATGAAGAATTTTATTCATTTATCAAATGGGAAGTATATGTACATCAGATATTCAGTATATGAACTAAAAAATCAATCAAGAAATCAACAGAAAAAAGAAAACTAAGACCAGCTAAGTATATACAATGGCTTTATAGTGATATAAGTCATTCTTTTTTTCTGTTGGATATTAACCATTTTAGATGATAGTCATGATATCAACTTTAATTTCTCTGATAATCTGCTCAACGCTCCTGGATTTCGATTTGAAAAATCTAGTGTTGCGCTCCCTCCACAACCCGTAGATGGTAGAAGAAAATGTCATTCTTTTCACTCTTTGCTTAAATCCTCGTCCTCTCAGCCTGTAAACGAACCAATCCAACAAAAGATTCCAGTTACATACCTTCCAACCGAATTGAAGCCAATCTATGATCCCATTCCAAACCGCATTCGTGAAGCTGCATTCGAAAAAAAGATGGTTTCAGGATTCTAGAACTGCATCATTACATAAACAACAGAGACCAGAGTTGATGATTCCTCATTTGAGCAGTCTATCTCTTGTAAGAAGCCTGTTTTGCAAAAGCTAGCCACAGAATGAAACAGTGCTTTGGGTAGCTCAAGTTATCCCATATTGTTGTGAACCATGGTACCTTAGTAGTTGATGGGGAAATTTTTGAATATAGCTCAGATAAGCACGCTTTTGAATTCCTATGACAAGAGCTGATAATTTGCTTCAAAACATCAACAAACCAATCCAACAAAAGATTCCAGTTGAGCAGTTGTTTCCATAACCAAGAATCTCCTTTTCTCATTGTAACTTGCCAAATTGATGTATCTTTTAAATAGTTGCAGTGGATCCATTTTATCCACAGTAACTCCTTATTTATATGTATGTACCATATGGTTCCATATGGTTCTTAATGCAAAGGCTATGTTCCATGTATTTGCTGAGAATATCCCCAATCATCCAAATTTCTTCTCCTTACAAACTTTATCCCAAGCAACCAGCGGGGATTTAAAAGCCTGATCTGCTTTGCCCCATAAGAAATCTCTACACAAATCATCAATCTTCTGCAGGACCTTTGCTTGTAAAATATAATTAGAAGTCCAAAAAATTTGAACACCCAATATAACAGTCTTGATGACATGAAGTTTACCAGCATATGATAAGTGCCTGTGCTTCAGCCATGTTTGAAATTGACTAGAGATTTTTCTGAAAAAGAAGAGTGCAATCAACATATGACAATCTCTTGCATATTAGAGGAACACCAAGATACCTTATAGGTAAGACTCCTTCAGGAAAACCCAGACACCTATGAATTGAGTTTTTAACAGAGTCCTCTACTCCTCCATAGAAAATAGAACATTTTGAGAGATTTGCTTCAAGGCCAGAAGTGACTCCAAAATCCTTGACACATTGATATAACTTTTGAATTGAGTAAAAATCCCCTTTACATATCAGGAGAAGGTCATCAACAAAAGTGAGATGTGTGATCTTGAGCTTTCCACACTTAGGATGAAACTTGAACTTCTTATCTTGCTTCAACATATTCATGTTCCTAGAGAGGAATTCCATGCCTATAATAAACAGATATGGGAATAGGGGGTCTCCCCGCCTCAACCCTCTTTCACCTTTGAAGTATCCATGCATAGAACCATTAAGTAAAATAGAATATTTAGAATAAGAGATGCATATCATAACCCAATTGGTAAACTCATTAGAGATATCCCAACTGATTGTATCCAAAGCTTTCCTTATGTCAATGTTTAGCATAGCTCTTGGGAATAAATGCTTCTTCCATAGTTCTTCAAAAGCTCATGCATTCATGATTGTTTCTATATATAGCATGCATGGCTTTTTTTAAGGTAAATGAAACTTTTCCGTTAATCTGTTGAAACGTTAATTACACATGACAGCCCTAGGCATATCCAGGGAATAAAAAACTACACAAAAACCACATTTTGATTCAATAGCATGATTAATACTAATTAAAACGAAAATTTGATTTTAGTTGATTTATGGTATCTTTTAAATTTGTAATTTGAAGATGAACGATGGGTGTCAATGGAGAAAATATGGGCAGAAGGTGTCGAAAGGAAATCCATGTCCTCGAGCATATTTTCGTTGCACGGTTAAAGCAGGATGTCCAGTGAGAAAGCAGGTACTGATGTAATTATGACTGCTGTTGTACATTCTGACTTAAATTCAACCGAACTTAATTATGATTTATGACATATGGATCTTCACACATCTATTCCTCTATACAAATAAGAGAACCCTCAAGAAGCACTATTTATGCCACAACAATACTACATTATTATTTACTGTAGCATTATAACTATAGATACTGTAGCATTTTGAACTTTAAAAATACTGTAGCAACTAAAAAAATTCAAAAAATGTTGTAGCATTTAAAACCGAGATTACTGTAGCGGGAAAAAAAAGATATGTCGTGCTTTACACGGTGTTCACACTAGTACTTGGAATTTTAGAATATGAAAAACTTAGAATGTTATACCTGGTAAATATAAATGTATATATACCATCTGATGTCTGTGTTAATTTTTCTAGTAAATAACAACTGCTCAGAAAATTGTTCTATTTGAACTCAATTAATTATGTCCCCAGATTTGTCATCCATAAATTAACAAACAAGCATATAACTACCTACATACTAAAGGGATACAGTCATGCAAATGTTTGTGTAGAATGCGCTATTATGTGTAGTACTATTACATATATGTACTATAATTATTTAGTAAGTGCTATTAAAATTGATAATATAATTATAAGAAATATAGATATTCTGCTGTAGAACATCTACATATATACAACGGGCAGTGCACTAGGAGGTAATTAAGTATAACTGATATCCCAATTTTATTCTGATCAATATTTATCTGAATTAATTATAAATTGTTCACAAGATTGTACTAATTAGCAACATAAAGATGACCAAACACTAACACTTATATATATACTAGGAACTATGCTAACTTTATTCTTCTGAAAGAGTTATTTCTCATGTGAAAATCCCTCAGGGAGAACTTGCTTTTTTATGGGCTGAAACCTGCAATCTTAAGTAGCAGTAGAGTTTTTTATAAAAAATCCATAGTAAGTTCGTGTCCGGCAACATTCGAACCATGATTGGCTCTGATACCATCTGAAAAGCACTCTAGCCATTTTATAAAAAATCTAAAATTATAATAAGGTTTGAGAATTATAGTTTTATATTCTAACACTTCACACACAATTTCATAATTAGTTGATCGATAGTGCACAACTAACATTGGACTAGAATAAATCCTTTTCTCCATAATGAATGGTTAAATATGTTTATTAAGAATGAACTGATCGATGAGTTAAACACTATTGGAAGAGATTGAAAAGGAAATATAGAAAAAGCTAGCATTATCTTGGTCTACACTGTAGGTACATTTCTTTCACTAATCATATTTTGGCCAAATTCTTAGGTACAAAGATGCATAGACGACATGTCAATACTAATCACAACCTACGAAGGGACCCACAACCACCCTCTCCCTCTCGCCGCCACCGCCATTGCCTCAACAACCTCGGCCGCTGCCTCCATCCTCACCTCCGGCCCCACCCCTCCTGGGCCTACCGCCACCTCATCAAGCCAACTCTACTTCTCAAACCAATTCATGAGTACTCCCCCCTCCTACTCCTCTTCTCACCCCACAATCACACTAGACCTCACCTCACAATCAAACTCATTTTCTACCATGTACCCTCATCCAATGCAAAACTATTGGCAAAGATCTGCTTATAATAATCCCTCGTCGTCAACTGATATAATTGCTAAGGCGATAACGTCAGATCCTAGCTTTCAGTCTGTGGTGGCCGCAGCGATTAGTTCGTACGTTGGAGGCCAAGGAGGTCAGGGGAATGAACTGCAGGGCTCGAGTTATAGTGGAGGAGGCAGCTCAATGATGTTCAGGTCTGTAGACCGCCATTGCCTCAACAACCTCGGCCGCTGCCTCCATCCTCACCTCCGGCCCCACCCCTCCTGGGCCTACCGCCACCTCATCAAGCCAACTCTACTTCTCAAACCAATTCATGAGTACTCCCCCCTCCTACTCCTCTTCTCACCCCACAATCACACTAGACCTCACCTCACAATCAAACTCATTTTCTACCATGTACCCTCATCCAATGCAAAACTATTGGCAAAGATCTGCTTATAATAATCCCTCGTCGTCAACTGATATAATTGCTAAGGCGATAACGTCAGATCCTAGCTTTCAGTCTGTGGTGGCCGCAGCGATTAGTTCGTACGTTGGAGGCCAAGGAGGTCAGGGGAATGAACTGCAGGGCTCGAGTTATAGTGGAGGAGGCAGCTCAATGATGTTCAGGTCTGTAGATAAGAGGGAGCATAATGAATGAAGTAGGTGATATATACATGTATGTTTATATTTGTAAGGATTAGGGTTGTAAAGTTTTTGGTTAATTGTTGCATGAGATTGTTTGGTGTACGTTAAGTAGATATTCAAGCATATGTTGCTATAAAAATAGGGATGTATACATGCAAATTGATGTTTATATTTGATATTTTTTCAGCTCTAGAGTTAACTTCTCTCGTTCGTGTATGACTGTTACAAGAATGCAGCTGTAGCATTAATTAACGAAACACTATTCGTATGAGTTTTTGTATGATGAAATGGTTTAAGGTGGAGAAATCAACAGCAAGGATTAAAGTAATTAACCCATTAATTAGAACAAATGAGGATATATAAATTAAATTGATTATATCGTGAAGTTAGATTTAATTTAATCATTATTTTCTTTGTAAATACACTAGTAGAAAATCGACCAAACTAGACGGAACAAACTAGACGGAAAAAATTTCCGTCTAGGTTGGAGCAAACTAGACGGAAAACTTCCGTCTAGTTTGTTCCGTCTAGTTTGGATCAAACTAGACGGAAAATTTCGTCTAGTTTGTCAAACGAGACGGAAAACTCAACCTAGACGGAATTCCGTCTAGACGGATTTCCGTCTAGGTTGAAGCAACCTAGATGGAATTCCGTCTAGGTTGCCTAGGGCAAACTATTAAGTTTGCCCAGGGCAAACGGATTTCCGTCTAGGTTGAAGCAACCTAGACGGATTTTCGTCTAGGTTGCCTAGGGCAAACTATTAAGTTTGTCCAGGGCAAATCAGCCGCCACCCCCCCCCCACCCCCCCCCCCCTCTCGTAACTCAGAACAGTGGGGTCATGGGCTTGTTTGCCCAAGAATGTTTTTCAAGTATAAGAGATCAGAATCCAATTCTAGCTGACATATTATATTATGGCCAATTAGAAGATATCGTTGAGGTAATTTACGGGTTTGGTAAACCAAAACAATGTACTTACACGATGTTCAAGGTTCGGTGGTGTCCTGCAAAAAAGCAAAAGGATCATTATGGATTTACACTAGTCAATCTTCACCGAGAAGTATATACGGATGAGAAATTCATTTTCGCAGAACAAGCTGATCAGTGCTTCTATGTGAAAGATCCGAATGTCATGTCTGATTGGGTGGTTTTGTACAAGGAGCCAAGATCTGTTGTTCTTCCTAATAACAATGAAAAAAATATTGAAGAAAGTGAAGATAATTATAGTGAACCAATCGGTTCATCTGATGATGTTTGGCAAGAATTCTCTTACGCACAGAATGTGGCGCTGGATGTAGGTATGAACTATATATGTTACACCATATTATCGATTTTTATCTTATCATAATAAAAACAATAATGCATTTCATAACAACATATCTCATGAGCATGTATACAATTTTTTCTTAACGATTGTCTTTATTATATTTGCAGATGAGGAGGAGGATGAGGAGGCTCTTTGACCTGGAGGGTGATCGCTCACGGAGTATCACCCCAGGTAGTGGTGCTGATGATCCACTACCATCTCCGGATGCAGGTATAAAAATTAATTAATACTTTAACATGTTTTATAAATTTTTAGTTATCTAGCTCATAGTGTTCATTTGTTGTAGATGCTGGATATTCATCACCCGGCCCCTCTGATGCAGCACCAGAACCATCCCCCGACGCAGGTATTAAATATTTAATAATTGATAATGTTCAATTAAAATTTAATATTAATGATTCTTCTTTCTTATGTAGGTGCTACTTGGACCCCGACATATCCATCATATACATTCCATACTGACTTGCGGCCAAAGACCCAGGACTTTCTCAGTTTACCTTTACCTCCGGACTCTCATAAGTCCAAGGCTGACTCAAGGAAGTACCACCCACGTGCTGCGAGAAGGTATCAGGAAATGCTTCCTATGTTGGAGACTAGGAAAGCTGTTGCACTCGCAGCAAAAGAAAGAGAGATAGCGAATGGTAAATTATATAAATACTTTTAATTTTCACATTTGTATATTATATGATATATTATCATGTTGTTATTATTGTAGGTGCTAAGTCAGATCGCATAGAGGGATGACGTGGCGGAGGTAAGCCTAAGTCTAAACAACCGCCAAGAGGAATGAGGGCCATTATTAGGTGGAATAGTTCTAATTTACCCGTTGGTCCTTGGTCGGCCCGATTGAATGCATATATTGGGGTTCTCGTGCGTAGAGCGACCATTATCAACCCTTATTTTCATTTTCGAGAATTACCATGGACCGCATACGAGGCGATATGGACTGCGCTTATGGTAAGTGCATATTGTTTTAGATTTTCATTTATTAATAATTAGTAATTGATATTAAATTATCCTTACTAAATGTGTATGTAAATCTACAGGACTGCTTCTGCCTTGAGGACTTTGAGGGGGCTTGGAATTATGTGTTTAATGTCAAGGTTGAAGCAGTCCTCAAACAATGGAGGCATGAGATCAAACATGAAACCTATGACAGGTATGAGGAGGACTGGCAGAGGTTTTTAAACCTCGATGACCGAGTTGACGAGATTCATTTCACGGCTCTCCTCATGTATTGGGACAGCGATGCCGCCAAGGTTAGTTTCATGAAATTTAGTTTATAATTTTAAGATATTATTTCATTTTATATTTACAGAATTTTTTTTAAAGAATAAATCCACGAAGGGGTCAGAAAATAGAAGAAAGAAGCTGCATGACCATCACTTGGGCTCACACTCCTACGCCAATCTGGAGGATGTTTATTGTCAAGATACGGTATATGTCATTTAAAGATTTAAAAGATCTTAATGTTTAGTATGATTATGAAATCTCATAATTTATAATATGACAGGGGAAATCATTAATGCCGATACACTTGAGGGCCAGAGCGGCATATGGTACTTTTCGTGAACAATATAGGGGTGATGAGAGGAATCGGGATAAGATCACAAAAAATCTCGAGTTAGTGGTGAGATTTATACATATCTTGAGTAGTATTATTAATTCTATTTTGTTAACATTACGAGGAAACGAGAACACAAATAATATGGTCATTATCTTGAATTAACTATAAATTTGTGCTTTAGGAGGGATTTGAGACCGCATCCAAGGAGGCTGCATCTGTCTACATTTCGCAGGAGGAGGAACAAACCGAGCCAGACCCTCACATGCTTTCTGCAGAGGAGAACATCAATCTCACACAGAACCTGATGGGTCATAATAGGTAAGGATGGTGAAAAATCGAATCAATTTGAATACTACATACTATTTATATTTGTTTACCATTATTGAATTTGAGAGCAAAGTTTAATATTTATTTCTCCCTAATAATAGGAGAGGAAGATATCCTCTACATGGTGTCGGAGCTTCACCTGGTATAAGCATCAGATCGTCCACAGCATCCTCCACACCATCTACATCGACGAGAGCAGCCACAAGCAGTTTCCAGGCTATGCCATTTGTCGCACGTATCTCTGCGTATCTGATTGACAAAATTGACCCGGAGCTGCATATTCAGGTGACTAATGAGATGACTAGAGTTGCGCTGACGGCGAACTCGATGGACGATCTCATGGGGTATGTTATACAATATTTAGGCGGTGCTATTCCTTATAGCGCGTATGGTGGTGTCATACGGATCATTAGCTCGATTGGCGATAATTCTGGCGCTAGACAGAGTAGTGCTCAGGTACCTTATTTTTTCTTATATTTATAAATTCATTTTTATCTAATATGTTATCAAACACCACATAATGATTATTCAATTAAACATTCAGAGTGGAGATATTGGAGGGAGCAGCACCCGTTCTCGTAATCGGGATAGAGATACCCCCCGCCGACGACGATGGATGCGGTTTTTTTATTTTTAATGCAATAAACAGTTTTATTTGTTATAACACTACATTTATTCATGTCGTGTATCATATCTTAGTTATGTGCATTGTTAGTATATATGTTGTTGGATGTGTTTTAGACGGAACTGATTGATGTATATTTTGAAGTGGATGGTTGGATTTGTACAATTGGATGGTTGAATGTGACGTGTACAATATTTTCTGGATGTATTCAAATATTAATGTAATTGTACAGGGAAATCCAAATTTTAATTAATTTTTTTTCCTGAAAAAAAAACAATCTAGACGGAATTCTGTCTAGATTGAATCAATCTAGACGGAAATTCCGTCTAGGTTGTAAAAAACCAACCCAGACAGAAATTTCGTCTGGGTTAGCAATCCAGACGGAATTCCGTCTGGGTTGCCAACCCAGACGGAATTCTAGGTTGACTTCCGTCTAGATTGATCAATCTAGACGGAATTCCGTCTAGTTTGAAGTAATATAGACGGAAGCAAAATAAACCAATCAAACTAGACGGAATTCCGTCTAGATGAACTAATCTAGACGGAATTGCAATCAACCTAGACGGAAATTTCCGTCTAGTTTGGTCGATTTTCTACTAGTGATAAAAGGTTTATTGCAACCGGTCTAAAAGTGATGGATAAGTAAGCCTTTCTTTTGTAGAGGTTAATTAATTTTAACATTTGTAGGGTTATCTTAATCCATTTATAATTCTTGTGTTTGATTAAGAGAGATTTAACTGATTGCAAATATTGTGCATTTGATGGGCTAAGGAGGGGTTAACTCTCCTTAACACCTCACCTAATTCATTGAGCCTAAGGTCCTAATATGGAATATGATGCATAATTAGAAGTAGTTAACCCATTATTAGAATAAAGAAGGATAAATTAAAATGATTCACGCAGTCAGATTTATTTTAATCACTATTTCCTTTGTAAATAAAGGGGTTATTGTTGGTACTTAAGATCGATCTAAAATAGATCTAATAATCGTGATTTATCCAAAGAGATTAAAACAATAAGAGCGCGGAAGCAATACCTGAATCCATTACACGAATCTGAATTAGGGTTTTGGATCTTCTAATCTTGAAAGCTCTCTCCCTAATATTTCTCTTTAGATGGGGATAAGAGAACGAGAACTCAACCATAAGATTAGGGACCATAACCCCTTTATATAGACTTGCAGTTTTCTAATTTAGTCGCTCATTAAATTAGAATTACGATCTGGTATCTCCATAATTAGCCCATGACATATTTAAACACTCATTAATCCAATTACATGATTGATCACTTTA